ATGAAGAAATTAGAACAAGCCACATTATTATGTATGAAAATTTTATTAAAAAAAATTCAGTATAACAGTGATATCAAATCATCACTAACACTAACATGTAAGCATAGTTAAACTCACTACAAAAATGAGAAATTATTAAATTGTTAATTATATTTGACAAGTGAGATGGACATTCTATACGTTATTTTACTATTGGTTAGTGATACTATATGATGATATGATATCACTGTTATTTATATATTAATATATCATAAGACATATAAGGCTCTTTTACATTGCCTATAATATACTAGTTATAAGTAATACCATATATTTCCAATTCTAATTTTTCACAAGATCAATTATAAAAACAAAAATTTAAAAACTTTTATATTAAATATTTAAGATTTTGTGCTTAATATTAATTTAAAAATTATTATCTATTGTTTTTTATTATGAGAAAAAAAAATCAAAATTTTAATTAACAAGTGCTCATTCTAAACTATTTTTCTGGCACCGCCACTACACACAATAGGTAGAAAGTCAACAAAGTCTAACTAACAACCAATTACCAAGACCAAACTCAAGCCCAACAAACACTAATAGTTACATACAACTCCTATAATAGGAGAGAATTAAACCACTACAAAGGGTATCAAATTCTTCTAGGAGTTGAACCCATAATCTCAAATCCAGTGGCGGAACCTAGAAATTAAATTAGAGGAGGCACTTATTAATTATAATATTGAAAATTTTTATAAAAATATTTCACATAAATTTCTATGATTGACTTCAAAAAAGATATATACATATATATATAAAATTTGTAACTAGTATATCATAGACAATATAAAAAAAAAAAAAAAAGTCATGGATATAAGTTTTAAAATAAATTATATAATGATAAAATAATTTTTTATACACAAAGGAAAAACACCAACAAAATAAGATATGAAATAATTTTTTATGACATCACCAACCAATAATAAAGAAAAACACACAAAGGATGAACCTCACATGTCAAATGTAACTAATAATTCAATAAATTTCATATCTTCATTAGAAATGGCAACGGGCCGAGGCCGGGGATCACACTTTCCGTCCCCGATCCCCGATGGTAGAAATTTCCCGTCCCCGGCCCCGATCCCCAACAGGGAGCCTATCACCGCCCCCACCCCCACCCTCACCCCCAGTCGGGTCCCCTAATGGGGATCGGGTTTCCCCGACCCTGAAAATTTCCCGTCCCAAAAAAGACCTCAAAAATTCCCGTCAAAAAAAAAAACCAGCAATACAGAAGTCAGTGTATAACTTACAGATCAAATACAACATCAAATACAAAAACAAAAAAAAAATCATCAACAGGTCTAGGGAAAGGCGTCGGAGTCGGAGTCGGAGTCGTCAACAGATCAACACAACATCAACACAAAAGATCAATCCTAAGCCGGAGGAGAATCGAGGCTATAGCATTACAGATCAACACAGATAATATTTTAGGGTCCGATCCACCGCCGTAGACCCCAGATCAACAACTCGAAGTTTGTGTATAATTTACAGATCAACATAGATCAGAGGCAGTGGAGGAGGATCGAGGCTACGCTGCCTCCGATCCACCACCGTACCACAGTGATAATGGCGGAGTCACTGCTCACGAGGTCACGGATAGGCGAAGTGGACTATGGGAAGGCGACTGTAATAACCCCGATCCATAATTAGCCACTAATCGGTAGTTAAGGATGTTAATTAGGTGAATAAAATAAGTTATGGTTTATTATGTGATTTGCATGATATTTGGCTTACTATCTGTTACTTGTAGGAATATCTATTTGGAATTCCACTTTAATATGTAAATTGAAAGCCTTATCGGTATCCGAAATCGAAATTGGCTACACCGATATGTTATTTGAAATTTTTAGAACCTTATAGCAAATTTTATTAAAAATTGATTCAGTCTGATTCGTTAAGTCGCGTTTGGCAAGCATTATGTTCTAATTAATGTGTTTTAGCACCATAAGCTTATATGAGCCTAATAAGCTCATTTGAACTCATTTTGTTTCATCTCCCTTGAGTGGAAAAATCTGAGGTTTTCTTTTAGAGAGAGGGTGTGAGCAATTCTAGAGAGAAAGATGAAGGAATTGAAGGAGAATTGAAAACCTTGGCTTAGATTCATCAAAACTAAGCTAGAGCTAGATTAATTCAAGACTATAGGTATGAATTCAACCCCTAAATTATGAATCTAAGTTATCAACATGAAGATTATGTATTTAAGGGTGTGTATTGAGCTTAGAAGGAAGATTTGAGTGGCAATTTATTCATGTATGTACATTTTCTTACAAATTGAGCATGATTTCCATGAAACCTCTCTTGCATGTTTGAAATTCATCTCCATTTGGGGAAATCATTAAGTTTCAAGTTGTTTTGTGGTGTTTGATCATGTTTTGAGAAGTTTGATACAAGAAAAATTCATGCATGTTGTGTTCATGAACATTCATCATGTTTTAAGTTGAAATTGTGAGTTTTTAACAAACCCTTAGGCCATGATTTTATGAAATAATCCTAATTCTTCATGTTTTACAAGTTTACTATGTTATCTCACGTTTTGGGGCCCAAGAGATGTGTTTTGAAGGTTGGAATTCGAGTTTTAAGCTTGAAGGTGCAATCTGGAAATTCCATATTTTGCATCCACGCTCGAGCGTGGGAGTTCATGCTCGAGCGACCACTCTGAGTGCGTGCACTCCGCTCGAGCGACCAAAAGTCCGCTCAAGCGTGAATTGCAAGCTCCCAGAAGTTTCATGTCTTTTACAGATCGCTCGAGCGAAGGAATGTGCGCTCGAGCGACCATTCACGTTTTGCATGCCTGCTCGAGCGAGGAAACCTACGCTCGAGCATGGACCTTATTTTCAGAAATTTGACTGAGTGTTCCAAGGCATGTTTTGGCATCCTCATTGCATCTTAGGCATTCCTAAGCCTTAATTAAGCCATAGTAATGAGGTTATGGATTAGAAACACACTAAAGAATGAATGTACTAAATTATGAGATTCAAGAGTGTGTTTTGAGCAATGTGTTAAGGAAGAACAAGAATCAATATGATGTAAGCTAAGCCGTGTTGGCCACATGAATGTGTAATGATAAGACATGCTTATGTTATGTATTTTGTGATTGTAGGTCAAGACTCGAGGATTGATTGATCACTTATCGGAACCACTGTGAGTAACATTTCTGTAAAGATATGTTGATATGAATTATGTTTCAAATGAAATGTGATAAGCTATGATTTCTGAAATGATATCTGTTTACGTGAACGAACATCCCAAGTTTGAAATCTATTATGGCATCCATAGATAGTCCCAAGTCATGGGGGACGGCATGAAAATGCGGGTCCATGACATACAAGTTTACGAGATCTCGTTAGCCACTTCATTGTGGTGATATGTGTTTAATCGGTATCCGGAACCGATTACTCTAGTCGGAAGACGTTCTGTGATGTGTTCTATGGGATGTACCATTATTATGTTCTGATATGAGAACGATTATGATTATGCTCTGTTCTGTTTTCTGCTTATGATACATTTAAATTTTGTTCACTAAACCTTTTACCTTAATGTTATTCATTGGGCTTTAGCTCATTGTGTGTATACATATGTATAGGTGAGCATTCTGCAGCCTGAGCCTGAAGGCTTTTGTCTGGATCTGTGTTCTGTTGTCAGCCAACCATTGCGCCTCACGTGGAGGTTCCCGAAGCGTCCTGTGTTTAAGTTCTATGATTTCTGTTTATTTAAGACTTGATTTGATGCCGTTGGCTGTACTTAAAATACTGTAATGTGTGTGGATATAATGTATGACTACCGGTTATGTATATAAAGTTTTAAATATTCTATTTTATATAAGTCAGCACAGCTCAATGGACAACTATAATTATGTATTTGCTTCCTCTAGCCCCTTAATTTTGTTAATTTGTTCAGAGGCCTTCGGTAGTCCAAGGATTACTGGCCGGTTAAACTTATAGGGGCGGGTTTGGGTCGTGACAGCGACGAAGGACGGTAGTGAAGGCGAGAAGGGGAGGAGGCAATGGAGGCTTGGACCTTCGCTTCTTTCTCATCTCTCAATCACAAAGAGTAGAAGAAGGGAGAAGAACGAGACAGAGAGAGAGTGAGAGTGTATGTGTGTGTGAAAGAGAGAGAGAGAGAGTTGTTGAGATAAATAATAAACCAACCACTACTTTCTAAACATATATATATATATACACCGGACTGATCGGGGCTTGATCGGGGCGCAGCCAGGCCGGGGCCAAGGCATCTATCACCGTTCCCGGCCCGAAAATCATCGGGGATCTATTTTTTACTACTAGCCTCGGCCCTATGGGGAGTAATTTTTGGGAAAAACCCGGTTTATCGGGACGTGGCAGTCCGGGTCCCCGTCGGGCCGAGTTCAAATTGCCATCACCATTGAAATTAATTATAATTGTATGTCAATTATGATAGACATCACCATTGTATTGAAATTTTCATAAATAATAATATCACTTATCGTAATATCTTTATTTTCAATAATAAAAAAACAAACAAACATTATTATTCTCACAATTTTAAAAATGTCATTGATATTTTACTCTAAATAATATTTTATAAGTTTTTTTATTTAAAATATTTTTTTTATGTTTGCAAAAATATATATATATATATATATATTCCAGAACCCCGTGGGGGCACGTGACTCTCCTGAACCCTTTGTGGCTCCGCCACTACTCACATCACAAAAGGTGTCGTTACACAGCCACTAAGTCAAATGCCCGAGTTTCATCATCATCAATTACCTCACACATTGCAAAATATATGAAATCAAGATGATATTATTTAACATAGCTCTATTGATGGAATTTTAATAAAATTTTGTCTTTGTGAATTGCTTATCATAAAACAAAAAAATAAAAGTTTAGTTTCAAATAACAAAAAATGATGAATTTTATATCATAGTTGTTCCGATTTAATTGTTGCTTAACATTAAAAGGAATGAAGCAGCTTACCATTTCCAAGTGGAAGATAGTAAAACTTGAAGAATGGATGCAAGAACTAGCCTTACTAGTAGTGAGTGACACTATGATTTGGTAGCCACATCAGCATTTAAAAGGGATGAACTTCCTGTAAACTGTAAGAAGGAGAAAAATTGTTACTACAAATATAGAAGAAAAAATTGTAAATAGGAAAAGTCTAGGAACACAAAAAGTTTCAAATACTGAATTTACAAATGTGATGACAAATATGTTTTTATTTATAGATACAAATATTTTTGTCTCATGTTATATGCTTAGAACTTTTTGTGTTCTCAGCATTACTAATGTGAATAGTCTCAAACACACCTTCAAATCAAAATAAAGCATACCTTATACGACGTTCAACAATCTTATCATTTTAGGGTTGGAAAAGTCATTTTGAGGTTATAGGTTGGAACTTGAAAGATGGCACTTCTGTACAATTATGCTAAAAATTAGGTCTACGTCTGATTTATTCCTCCTAGACCTCATAAGAATAAAGATTCTCTTTAATACTTTTTATTCAAAGATCTTGTTAAGTTTTTTATCACACAAAGACAAATCAACAAAATATAAAATCTAAGAGCATCTATACCAGTTTCGTTAAACTTATTTTTAAACCAAAACATAGAGTAAATGCAGAAAAAAAACAACTTTTAAAAGATTCTATCAGCATCATTACATATTTACAAAATTTGTGATTACTGCTATAGATCGTTTAATGTAGTGATGTACTATTCACAAATTATACACTATTTTATTATTTTTCGCCAAGTGATCGACCACTCAATCATCCATTCGGTCGACCACAACTTTTTTTATCTTTTATTTTTGAGAAATATGAGATCGATATATATATACATACAATACAAATTCTATCACTCTGGATTACATACTCTCTTTTTTTTTCTCTTTTGAGGAGATAAGCAACAAGCGATTATCTGGCCGGACAACAACTGTTGGCACAACAATAATAATAATTATTATTATTATTGTTATTATTATTTTAAGGAATACGACAAACTGCATATATATGTAGATAAATAATATAAAATTAGCAGCTTCTTCTATTATTTCTTAACAATGCAAAATGAATATTTTACAAAATTTAATTTTAAAATAGAGGGCCTAATGTAGGTGTACATATAAAAAAAATATTAGATAAAATAGAAAAAAATAGCTTTTTGAGATTAATTTAATTCAAAATTTGTTGAGTACTAATACTCTAACAGATTGAATTTAAAATTAAAATAAAATAACATAAAAGTATTATATTTTTTTTTAAATCACACACATTAAATGATGTTGTTTTGCTTTAATGTAAATGTAGATTGTTTATTTACGGGGAACTTACTGATAAGTCCCATGTAATAAGTTCAAAATCCAATTAATCCCAAAACAAAATACTTGCACCAATTAGTCCAACACATTTTTAATTGTTACCAAAAAATCCTTTTTTTTTTTTAATTTATAGACACTGTTCACATCTTACTACCGTCAGACTTCCGTTTAACGGTCGCTGGAGACTCACCGGAATGTCTAGAGTATTGCCGGAAAAAAAAATTAAAAAACATGTTATGAAACTGTAAAATTTAACAGTTCTAAAGAATGTTATAAAACTGCAAAATTTTACAGTTTTAAACCATGATTCATTCCAACACCAAAAAAAAAATTTGAAACTGCAAAATTTTACAGTTTTCACCGCCTGTAACTAAAACTCGAAAACTGCTTGTTCAGAATTCGAAAATTTTCTCCATTAGAACAGAAAAACAGAAGTGTATAGCAGAGAGAGAAAAAAAAAAAAAAAAGAGATCGAAGGGGAAAGACGGATGTCTAACCAAATCTGTGTAGATCTACTCAGATCTGATGTAGATCTGAGTAGATCTATATCAGATCTAAGTAGATCCATTCATCTTCTTCGTCGGAAAATATATCATCTTCTTCGTCGGAGTTGATTTCAATGCTTGGTGGTTATCAATGAACCCCGATCAATGGAGAAAGATATGATCAAGGAACTGTTCTTCTTGAACTCGGAAGTGGATTCGTACTTTCGGGAAGTAGATTATGATGCAGAAGATTGTCCTCTTCCATGACAAATACGGTGACAGAAAAATGTAGAAAAAAAAACGAGAGAGGAAGGGAAGCAAAAAGCAGAGAGAGAGGAAAGGACGTTTGGGTGTAGTGAAAAAGTTATGGGATTAAATGGAGATCACATGTTTCCCATGAGACCTATGGGTAATTTCCCCTTTATTTACAAATAGTTGGATTACTAGGGCGAACCCATGGTAAAAAGATCCATATATAGTACTATGGTAGGATGCCTTCTCGGTGTAAATTAGAATACTAATTATTATTTTAGGGAAATATCCTTTTACTGATACTTTTAACAAAAAATAAATTCTCAGCTTGGTTTAGTTTTGAAATTCATTTTGGAAGATAAATTTTTGAAAAAAGTTTTAAAAATTTAAAACTTGTTTAATTATGAGTTTTGAAATTAATATTTGAGTTGTATATTTTGAAAAGTGTTCTTAGAAGTTTGCAAATTGAAAACTTGTTTGGTTAGAAGTTTTCAAAATTGGTTTTTTAGGATTTTTTTTTTTTTTGTCTTGTAATCAAAACACTTTACAATATTATAGTCAATTTTATTTACTATTTTACATACGTAGTGAAATTTTTTTACAATATTATAGTCAATTTTATTTTTATTTTTATTGTTCTATATTTTTATTTTATTTTTGTTTACTTCTTTTATATAAGGAACTTAAATGTATTTTGTAAATAGATATAATATAATTTATAGGGCAGAGCTTTATATGTATATACTAGTTTCGTAAGAACGTTTTAAAAATTTTAAAATTATTTTTCGGATTTATATTCACTCAATCTACATACAATTAAAACGTTTTATTTTTATTACATTTGTTTTTCATTTCTTCACATTTTGTTTACTATTTACCTATATTTTTTAGATCACCCATATATATATAACATAACAAATTATTTGGTCAATACTTAGAAAAAAAAATTCAAAATCATTTTTCTTTCTACTACACATCAATCAATTATTTTTCTTTCTCCTCTCTCTCTTTCTCAATCATTTTTTTTCTTACATCTATCTTTTTAACTACAAAAAAATATCACATCATCTCAAATTCCAAAATTATTTTCAAAATATATATTCAAACAAAATTTAAAATTTTTTAAACTCTCTCCAAAAAATTATTTTTGAAATAATATCTCATAACACTAACCAAACAAGGACAAATTTAAAATTTGTTTGGTTATAAGTTTTGAAAAGAGTTTGAAAATTTAAAACTTATTTAATTACGAGTTTTGAAAATTTAAAACTTGTTTAGTTATGAATTTTGAAAAAAGTTTTCAAATGGTTGAGTTAAATATAGATTTGAAAATCCAAAACTAAATAAATTTTTGAATTTTGGACTGTCAAATTATAATTTAAAAAATAAACCGAGCGATGATTTCTAAAACTTGTGACTTTATACTTTAATGTTAGAAAGTTTAACACTAGTTGCACTAACTAAACTGATATTTTCCCTATTATTTTTTAGATTCATTGAAAATTTTAATACACTATCACAATTCCATCAAATTAAAACAAAATAATTATATTTTCATATTTTATCATTGTTTTGTTTAGTTAGTTCTTCTCCATTTTAACAAGAATTAAAAGATGGAATGTGAAAATTCATACCGTTAAAGAGGCGTCTTCCTCTCTAGTTCTTCCTCCTCTCTCTGTCTCTCGCTTTCAATTTTGGTGGAGCATGAAATGTGGCAGACCTAATTCATGTCTTTCTAATTTTATATTGCATAAAAATAAAGCTAGCACGAGGTGGAGACAATCATGCAGTCTTGGTCTTCTAAGGAAGTCGTGGTCTTCTAACCGCCAAGCCCTAATGACAATAATGTTGAAGTGCATAATTAAAATATAAGATATTTACATATAAGTTTTAATTTATAAATTTATATTCTATTAAATTTTAATTAAGATTTTTTAGACGTTCAAATCTCATTAAATTTTTAATAGTCAGAATTACCCTTCAAATGATGATTGTTCATCATTTATAATTATCTACAAAGGAACATGATAATTTGACATTTATTTTGATTTTCAAAAATTTAAAATAAAAAAATATATTTAAATATCAACTTTGAAATTAAAAAAAAAATTAAAAAAAATTATGTGCAAAAAAAAAAAAACTACAGCATGTTTGGTTTCAGTTTTTTGAATTTAATTTTTTGAATATTGAGTTTTTTCTTTTTCGTATTTTTTGTTTTTAGTGAATATTTTTTAAATTTAAGTAATTTTTTTACGTTTTTAGATGCACCTTACTTGAATGTATCTAAATAGTAAAATATTTGTAAAAAAAATATTTTAAAATTTTAATAAATACACAAAAATACGAAAAATGTGCTGAATTTTCATTTTTTTGTATTTTTTGGTATTTAGTATTTTTTTTAATAATATACTTTTTAAGTGTATTTATGTTAGATGTGTCTAAAAATTTTATTAAAAAAATTTCTTAAAATATTAAAAAAATCATTGTAAACATTAAAATACAGAAAATAAAAAAAAATAGAATTTTCTAAAAACTTTTTTCTGAAAATCAGAACCAAACAAGCTAAATATTTTATTTTATTTTTTGAAAAATTTGAAAAAACTGAATTATTTTTTTATTCAAAATTGAAAATTTCGTATCTATAAATGAACATGATGATAAAACATTGATGTGTAAAATTGAAAAAATAAAGACTTTAAAAATAAAAAAACTGATAATGTTCTCAATTTTAAAACTAAAAAAAAACTGATATTGTTCTCGATTTTATTGGATAGTCAAATCAAACCAATAAGTAGAAGGACAAAAACGTTTAATCTCGGGCTTTATTTTTTTTATCAGTTAGTGAAACAATTATTTAGAACATTATTATGCACAATTGATAATATTCTTAGTTTTAAAAAATGGTGAAAAAAATTAATAATATTCTCAATTTCACAAAATAGAACTTTAGATAGGGCCTGAGTTACCATAATATTTTTAAATAAGACTTTTAAATAATTAACTTTAAAATGTATTATGAATGAGAGAAAACACAATAGTACATAGAGATTGTTTAATGCAGGTTACTTCGGTAGTGTTTGGTAACGCTTACGTTTTTTGTTTATGTTTACAAAAATTTTATAAATTGGTTTTGTTTATTTTTAGAAAAATATAAATTACAAACACGTTTGGTTTGAACAAAATATTTAAAAACATAAATTTAAAAATATACTTATTCATACCTAAAATATTTATATTTATTGTTTTATTTATGACAATAGGATCACACACATTACAATTGAAAAAATAATAATAATAATAAAATAATTGAAAAAAAATTAATTGGAAAAAAAATTAATTAAAAAAAATTATTGAAAAAAAAATTATTGAAAAAAATAATTTGAAAAAAAAATGAAAAAAATTAATTAAAAAAATAATTGATAAAAAATTTAATTGGGAAAAAACATATTTGCAAAAAAAAATTATTTGAAAAAAAAAATAATTGAAAAAAAAAGTATTTGAAAAAAAAGTATTTGAAAAAAAATTAAAAAAATTATTTGAAAAAAAATTATTTGAAAAAAGAATAATTGAAAATAAATTATTTGAAAAAAAAATTAATTGAAAAAAAAATTGAAAACTGAAAACGTAAGCTCATTTTTTGAGTTTACGTTTTTTCCTCAAATTCATAAACTGGGACAACCATTTATAAATAAAAAAAAAATATCAAACAAGTTTTTATAACAGTTTTTTAAATTTTGTAAATATAAACTAAAAACGGAATGGTTACCAAACAGGCCCTTCATAATTGGATTTAATCTTAAATTTTTATAGTATTTTTTTATAAATTATTTGTAATCAATTTTGTATTGCTAACGTTGTTGTGACCATGACCGTTTAAAAAAAGATCAAAAAGTCATCAAGTTGTTTATCATCAGTTAAAAAATAACAAATTTGCTTTTATTCTCACAAAAATCATTTTTTTTTTTTTAAGTAACTTTCCAAACTCATAAACATTTTTAGTTTCTAAAAATACTAAAAAAATTTAAAAATTACTAAACAAAGCCAATCCCAAACACAAACTTTCTTACCATCTTTTTGATTTTTTTGATTTTTTAATTTTCGTTTAGAAGTTAAAAAAATGTAATGTTTGGAGAGCGGTTTTTTTTTTTTTTTTGTTTTTTTTTTTTTTTTTTGATGGGAGTACAAAATGTGTCGTTTTTCCAAAAATTTTAACTGATAGTAACCAATTTTTCAATTTATTAAAAAAATAAAAGAAAACTGATTTTTTAAAGTTATCCAAATAGACTATTATACCTATTGGTTCGTTACGAGTTTTGATTTGGTTCATCTCAGTAATTCAAACCATCAATTTATATGGTTAGTCAAATATATTATTTTTACCAACAATTACATTAATTAAATATCAATAATTACTTGATCATATCACATTTATAACAACAGTTTATTTTTAAAATTATATTTGTCATTTACATAAATGTGACATGATTAAATGATTATCAATATCTGATTAATATAATTTTTTATAATAATAACGTGGTTGACCGACCTTACATATTGAATGACTTAAATTATTAAAATAAATCTAAAACAACGTCCACAAGGCCCCATTTGTTTTAGGAGATAGAGGGTGGGATGAGATTAGGATGGAAGTGGAACTCATTTAGTGTTGTGTTTGTTTGTAGAGTTGTGGAAGAGATTAGGATGGAGAAGGGGATTAAGATGGAGGTTGGAATGGGGATTGGGATGGAGGAGGAGGAGGAGGTGGAGGTGGAGGTGGTATTAGAAAAATAGTGAGAAGACTAGAAATGTTTTTTATTTTTTTTATTTTTTACATGTTGGACATTTTTTTTTTTGAATATTAATGTTTAATATTTTATATAAAAATAATTTAACAACTTTTACACTAACAACTATTATAAAAAAAAATATAATTTTACTTAATCCTCTTATTATTAATGCCCTCACTATTAATTCTCTCATTATAAATTTAATACATTTTACCTTTCAAAATAAATAGATTACCAACACCGTCCAATCCAATTAGGAAATGTAGAGACGCCACTCCCATATCTTAATAGGCAATACTGGATGAGAGGAGACCATCACCATCCTACCTTGACTTTGACGGGAGTAAGCTTGGCCCTGAATTATTCTACACGGCTAGAAAAAAATTGCTAGTATGAATGAACGCTACCCCATACCATTTTGTGGTATTAAACCAATTGACTTTCACATCATATGTGGTCTACATTACCAAAATTGTAAGAGTGGGATAAAAAAATATAATAATAAAAAATTAGAGTGAAATATTTAAAAATCAATTACTAATTAATGATATTAACATTTATAAAATTTATCATTAATTTACAAATATTTTTTTAATCATACACTCAAATATAATTTTTTTCAAAAAATCATCAGAGACAACACTAACTAATATTACGATATCACTAACATATAATATTGATATAGTATTATCATTTAATAATAAATTTACATGCCACAATAAATTTTACTATGTAAATGTGAAAATTATGTGATAGTTGGATAAGGAAATTTCGTTTAAATCTGGAGTATAAGTTTATTATCGAATAGCGATATCACGTGTCAATAATAATGTGATATGATATCATCATTATATTTTATTTTTTTAGACACTGCAACATATAAGAGTTTTAGAAACTAAATATTTTAGTCTCTAAAAGTGAAAATTTTGTTACAAAAGACATTTAGGAACTAATTTCCATCGTCATGAGAATAATCGCTAAAAGGTCGTCCCGAAAAGTCAAAAATAAGGTTTTTAGGGACAAAATTTTGAAAATGTCACTATTAAATAAACTTTTAAGGATAAAATAATTTGGTCTCAAAATAGTTTATAATTTTGTCTCAAAATAGTCTCAAAAAATTTAGTTCCAAAAGAATAATAATTCATCACTAATATTTAATTTTCATTGCTAAAAATACAATAATGACCATTTTCACAACAAAAATATTTGGCTCTTAAAAAATAATTTTATCCCTAAATTTTAGTCTCTAAAATCTTAATTTTTTGTAGTGAGAAATTGAGCTTGAATAGAATTTAACATCATAAATATTTCACCAATTTTTCTCTCTCCCCAATCTTTATTTACCAAAAATCTCTCCAAAATTAATCATGGTAGAGCCATCTCCTAACTACCGTTCTAAAACCCTAGGAAACGCATACATTTTAACCTCTTTTTTCTGGTCTTTTAATTTCTATGAAATCCTAATTGTTGAAGGATGATGATAAAACATTGTTGAAGGAAGGTGCAGTCACAACCTCTATATTTTTTTTTGTAAATAATTTAATTTGATTCTATTGATTTGCAATTTCATAGTACATATTTAACCAAATACATTTTTTTTTTCCATCATGATTAAAATGCACAAGTGAACTTTGGGCATAAACCTTCTGCCTAATAAGCCCATTAAATATTGACCAAATACAAACCAGAAATCCGGGGGTAACTCTATTTGCACCCAAATAGTAATTCACTATGCTCAATTAAAATTTTAAAAGCTTAGTTCATATTATATTCTAATGTAAATTTATTAATAATGACAATACATATTAAATCTTAAAATAAAATATTATTATTATTTTTTTTATAGTACATCTAAATCACTTATACATATTCAATTGAGAGGTTTCATGGAAGAAATGGATTTTAGGGCCAAAAAGTTTCAAAACACTA